TTACTTTGTGGAACTGGAACTTTCATTGTTGTTGTACAGATGGAAGGGGATTTACTAACAGAAATTTGGGAGTTGGATCCTTTAAAAAGCTGGGAACTGGGCTCGGGTGGTAGCTCAGTAGTACATGTACTTAGTATGTAGGAAGCATGGGGTTCAAGCCTCCCTCGTTCCCAACAACAACTAACAACAACAACAACAATAAGTAACAGGTTGAGACTCCATGGAGGTCAGGCCTTAAAACAGGCAGAGTCCAATCAGTTCCAGGAGTGGGGTTAGGAATTCACAGGGCCTCCAGTCATTAAGAGTCAACGAAAGAGATGAGCAGAGAGTGGCCACTCAGAAATGGAGAAGGGGGTACTTTGGACCATGGGTGGCCTAGCTTCTCTTTAGGATTTCTCATGGCTCCTGAATGTTGCCCATCATGCAGCACCATACCATGCTCTGTGGCAATTGCTGGCTGCACCTTCTGTGTCCTCAGGAGGAGCGTGTCTGCCTTTCACCACATGCTCTGCCTAGGATGCACTCATTAACCTTTAATGAATGATGTGATTAATATGTGGGACAACAGCTGTGCCTGGCCAATTTCATTCGTGGGTGTAATGGAAACAACCAGCCCGGGGGTAATGCTCTGAGGTCATGGGAAGGAGAACAATTAAAGCGTCCTGGGGCCCCGTTGATGGCATTGAGACCCCATTTCCTAGAGTGAGTCTTTTATGTTGCAGGTGGAGAAACAGCAAATGGATAGCACCAGGAGGAGGCTTGTGACGGACCATGTACAGGAGGATCCCAGGCCTAAAAGCCCCCATGATGAGAGTACTGGCCTAGTCCTCATAAAGTTCACAAACACTATGTCACAGTGAGATGGCTTAATAGGAACCATGTTGATACACTGTCACTTAGAGGAGAGCACACAAACCATAACCATAAGGCTAGGTGAATTTTAAAAGAAAGAAACCATGTAGCCGGCACTTACATGAAGAGGCAGAGCCGGGATCACAGTCTAGAGGCTCCTCACTCCCTCATCAGCCAGATTCACTCTGTTCCTCCCTTGTCTTGTGAGGCAGCTCCATGCGTGCCTCAAGCCTGGCTTCCCAGGTCTCCTCGAAGTGTGTACTGGCCTGCATGACCTCCTTTGTGGTTCGTCCCTCTACTCCATGTTGGATACAGTGTTTTCATTCAATATACACATCAGGGTGATCACATGCCCTGCTTTCCAGCAGACATTGTCAGGGACATGGAAGAGTGAAGGATGCATTCCTGATCTTGGGGGAAAGGACTCTACTATGCATATATTATTTGACATAAATTCAGCATTTATGCATCCCATAAAAACTTGGAACTAAGCTTCCATCCGAAGCCATCATTTCAGTTCTGTGCGGGGGAAGCACTGAGTGAGCTGGGTGCTTGTGGCAGTGAGGAGCAGGGGTGTGGACAGGGGAGCAGGGTGACTATTGCTGAAGCCAAGCAAGTTCGCTGAAGTCTCTGGCTACATGCTGCTTTGGAGAGGACAGTGCCAGGTCCCCTGGGAACCTAAAAGGTCTTTGAAAAGATTCACTTAAGGTCACAGCCAGGTAAGTGCCATGTAAGGGGAAACAGAATCCTAAAATGAAAGCATCTTGACCCCTTAGGGTCATGCAAGGAGATGACTTCAGGATGTTCAATAAGGAGGGCAGCTTCTCTGCCCACCAGGAATGCCAAAAAGGGCAGTTGCAACCTGAACCCCAGGAAGAGGAAATTCCAGGGGAGGAGGCCAGGGGTTCTGAAGGCAGCTTACAAATAAATTCAGAGACAGTTGTGAAGGAAGAGGAATGGTCATCAGGGCACCCCACCCCGGCCCAAGGCCACCTCCCTGACTATGCTTCAAGCCACAGGTCACTTGTAACCAAACTTCTTGGGGCAGACTGAGATGTTCTCAATGATCTCACCAGACCATGAATGGAATGGCCTGTATGGAAAGACTGAATTCTCTGCATCCCCCCAAAGGCTAGACACAAATGAGGGGGGACCTTGTCCAAGTAGGTGGGACAAAGGGACATGAGTCTAACTCTAGGACAAAGCACTGTGACCTGTGACCTGAAGCCAGCAGGGTACAAGAGGGGATGCTGTGGAGAGCTTCTACCCTCTGGCACCTGGCCCTCAGTAGGAGCTCCCAATCATTTATGACCTGATGCCTTCCTTCCCTGTCTAGAGAAACTCTCAGATATGCCTCCAGGATGCTTAAAAAGCAGGAAGCAAAGTATACAGGCTGTAAAGGAATAGTCAATAGCATATATCCAGGAACGTGCAGTCTTTTATTAATGTAGTAAATTGCAGGATGGATCAGGGACTTTAATAAACACCATAACTTAGAATGGAGGAGAGTGTGATCAGCATGGGAAGTGTCTACAACCCAGGCAGCATATTTCAGACAAGCTATGATTTTCTTGAGAACAAAGTCTCAGGGATCAGAACACTCCCGCGCTTTCTTGTTTATAGTCCCACTTATAGAAAATGCCAAGTTTCAGTTTGAGTTAATGATGAAAAAAAAATGATCTTGTTCTCCCTATTCAAGACCCTGACCCCCTTAAATTCCATCTGCATACTCTTGGCAAGTGTTTAATCCCTTGAAAGACCTCCAAGCTCTTTTTCAATACAAACCTCAATTTTGTTTATTCATTTGGGGCATACACCAGATTCCCAGGCCTGCCCTATGACACCAAAGGCATTTCCCAGCAACACAACCAATGAGATTTGGAAGCATGAGGCAGGGATGCTGCACCCTACAAACACCCCAGACCTCAGCAGGGACACAACTAGCCACAAGACCTCTGTTGGAAACAGAGATTTACAGTCCCCTCCCTCCAGCACCTCGTCCTTTCTCTGAGGAACATTTTCAGTGAGCCTTGCTGACTGTCTCCTTGGCTTCCTTGAAATCAACTGCGTCGTCTTTGTCAGTTACTATATCTGGGTCAGTGGCTGAATCAGAACACAGTGGCTACCAAGACACCTTGAGTACTCACACCTATCAATTTAGACGTTGTTGCCAAATTCCCTGGCACCAAGGAACCAGGAGGAGAAACCTAGGTGGGTGGGCATCACATATCAACAGATATTCATGGGCAGACATCATCCAGCCTCCAGAACTGGCCCTGGGCTGCAAGGACACAGACCCTTGGAAAAGAAGGCTGGGTGCCTTTGTTTGCCAGTGGCTTCTTATTGCACAAATGCCAGTTTCCAGTTGCTGGGAATAAATATTTTGCAGGTGGCCAATATGAATGACAGCCAGGATAGGGAGTGTTATAAACAGCTTTAGAAGGAATGAGAGGGGACACAGCCACAAGGATGTTTGTTTCATGGGCCAGTAAGTAAAATCCTCCCTCAGAAGAGAGCTAATGGCTGAGAAGAAGCCATCTGTGTGGAAAAGGAGTGGGGGACAAGAAGAATAATCACCAAGCCAGAGAGGCAAACACTGCAGAAGGAGGCGCTGGGGTGAGCCTGGCTGCAGAGACAGGCACCTTCCAGACAGAGGGGGTAGGGAATGGCTGGAGGGGCTACTAGCAAGGGCTCTAAAATGAGACCAGCTCAAGGACAGCTGGGCTCCAAAACTGGGTGGCCTTGGGCAAGTCACTTGCGCTCCCTGAGTTTGTGTTTCCTAGTTTGTGAGTTGGGCTACTCCCTTGTACCCTTGTTAAAAAGCAAAACATGTAAAGGTCTTACCAGGAAGGCAGTATGGTGGTGACTAAGCCATGGCTGGTTTGCTGCGACTTTTTCTAACGAAGTGTTTGAAGGGTTTTAAGCTGCTGAGAAATAACCTGGCAGGTCTTTGGCTGATGATCAGCATTGTGTGGGCTACTGGGGGGTCAGTAGGACAGTCAGAAGGGAGCCTGGAGGCTGTTTACACTATCTGCTCCCCAGTTAGGGGCAGGGCAGGATGGCCACCACTAAAAGGCAGCAGAATGGCCATCTGTCCCTCAGGTGTCTCTCAGCACCGCCAGATGGGAGGGAAAGGCAGCCAGCCACACCCTCACTACTGGGGAGCCCACTGTTCCCAGTTCCTGATCATTCCAGGCTGACATCCCACAGCCCACCAGCTCCTGTTTACCAGTGACAATGTCACTTGTATGGGATTCTAAGTGCCTCAAGGACAGCAGCCATTTCCCTTCACTCTCACTACAGTGACCAACGACTGCAGACTCCGTTCTGGGACCTGGGGGGCTTCTAAATAATTAATTTACTAGAAAAGGGAGGACTGGCTCACAGCAAGACGCTCTCAGAAGGCTAAAATCAGGGAATCTTCATGGTCCTGGGAGGTCCTTGATGCATCCCTGACCCAGGGCCAGCCTTCCTCTGGCTGTCCTCCACCTGAGAAGCATTCTGGAGGTCACAGATCATGGAGAAGGCTCTTCCCCCAGACCTCCCAGCCCCCGCTGCCCTTCCTGCCTGAGATACACAGCACATAGCCCATTTCCAGCTCGAGGGGGGCTCTGAGAACCACATATGACGGGATAAAAGCCCTCCAGTCTCCCGAGATCTACGGGGATGCTGAGGCTCAGCTGCTAGGCGTGGGGGTCCTGAAGGCTCCTCCTCACTGGCCACGCTTAGACCCAGGCATCTCCTGTTGTCCATCCGGGGGACACATAGGGAGGATGTACCACCTCCCCTCTGGTTATTTCTCAGCTATCTGTTTGCCTAAGGTCTCCCTCTTTCCTCTGGCAGACCCCACTACCCTTGCCTCCTGATTCTGCAGGCTTCTCCTCAGTATCCCCCGAAGGGTGCCCTAACCTGAAGCTCTCCCATCTTCTCTCCAAGGCTCACAGCCTCTCCTCCCTACACACCGTCCCCCCCACACACCCCCTCATTCCTTTCCCAACCCTCTCAAGCCTTCATCCCCCATTCTCCTTCAAGTCCCTCCCCCATCACTGAGGGCCACCGCGACCCCTGCTTGCAGGTCTGCTGTCCCCTTCCCGGTCTGGCAAAGCATAAAGTAACCCGGCCACCCCACCTGGCCCGCCCGCACTCACCTGTTGGGTCGGCCGAAGCACGCCGGGCCTCGCCTTCTCAGGGTCGGGCTCGCCGTCCCGTGGAAGCAACCCCTTCTTAGGGTGCATGTGCCGGCACAGGCAGGTGACCCCGCACAGCGCAAGGATGCTGGTGGCAGTGCCCAGCGTGGCGCCCAGCGCGATCACAGGCACCGACAGCACCATGGTGCCTGCTTCCCGCGGCTCGCCCGCCTGCCTCCCGCCGGCCTCCTGCACCTCGCGCTCCCGCCGGGCTCCAGCAGCTCTCCAGACTCCGAGGGCGGGGACGCAGCCAGCCGAGAGGGAGGATGGCTGTAAGGACGTCAGAGGCGGAGGCTGACCCGGAGGCACGTCAACCGCAACCCCCTCCCCGCCACCATGTGACCCACCCCCTATCGCCAGGAAGGTCTTGGCTGGTGTTGCCTCAGGGTTGTGCGGGGCCATACCTAGTGCTCTGTGCCTACAAACACACACACACACACACACACACACACACACACACACACACACACACACATACATATATATATACACATACACATGCACACACACATTAGCATCAGGGTTGTTTGGGGTCAATCCCCCGCCCCACCCCTTTGCCCCACAGACACATACACACTGGTAGGTGATAACCTCCGGGTTGTGTGGTACAATTCCTAGAGCACACAGATACACACATACATACACAGATAGATACTCTGTATGCACACACATATGCATACACATGCATGGGCACACACACGTTGGCATGTGATAACTTCAGAGTGGCTTAAAGCCATTCCTAGTGCTCTGTGTATACACACACAAACACACATGCACATAGACATAAGACAAGCATACGTACACACACACACACACACACACACACACACACACACACACTTCCTGGGAGGAGGGTAATCTCAGTGTTATCTAGATGCTCTGTGCACATGCATGTGTACACCACACACACACACACACACACACACACACACACACACACACACACCTAGGCAGCAGGACCTAGGAAGGACTGGAGCTTAACTGAAGTCACACAGTGTCAATCAACCCAATGAACCAGGGCTTCAGCTCAGACCGGGAACTCACTCTGGGCAGCTGGTCTCCTCATCAGACTGCTAACCCTTTGCTCATCACACCACCACTCACCCTATCCCAGGGCTGGTAAGGTAGAAGCTCCAAGCTTTGCAAGCACTCACACAGGAGTAGAGGTGTCTCATTCCCTGGGCTCACAGTGGCTTCCCACCAAGGATGGAACAGACAGAGGCTGGGAGAGGGAATGTGGGGGGAGCAAGCAGGGAGGTGAGGCAGACTAGGGTGTGGCAGAGAACTGACTGGTGCGGTGTGGTGTCTGGCTTGAAGGTCCTGTGTCCCGGTAGTTATCTTTTGGCTGCATTATGGCTCACGTTTATTACTTGATCTGATTGGCAGGGACCTTACCTTCTACATGGCTAAAGATGCTGAGGCTCAGAGGGGACACGGGCCACTAGGAACCCTGTCACCATCCTGAATCCACACTCAGTGATTGCTGGTTCCAGGCCCTATCTTTGGAGGGCTGACAGTAACAGACACTGCTGCTGGGACAGAGGTCTCACAATGTGGAGAATATGTGTGCTTAAGAGTGAGGGAAAATGAGAATTTGTGCAGGAAGGCGACTGTCTTAGCTCTGGAAAACTGAGCTTTTGATATTTTCCATTATATAGAAGGTTTGACTCATTGAGAGCTAGGTGTGGTTTGTGGGCTCTAAGTGTGCTGGGTACTTATGAAAAGGGGCTTGGTGCAATTTACTCCACAGCAGCTGATGACCCCAGAGCTGGAGATGCCCAGCAGCTCTTGTCTGCCTGGCTTCAGGTGTGATCATTGTCTGGGTCTCCTTTGCCTACTCCTGATTTATCACTTACCCACTGCACAGAATACCACCCATGAGTCCGTGGCTTAGACTAGTTGTTTTTCTACCTGGTGTGCTTCTGCAGGTTAGCTGGGCTAAGCTGGGTGGTTTCAGCAGTCTTCGGGAACAGCAGTTATCTAGGAGTCCAGCTGGGCTGGGCTGTGCAATGGTGTACCCACACAGGCAGCAGCTGGTGCCGGGTCACCACAGGAGACAATCCGAAGCCTCAGATGGCACCCTTGGTTCTCCTCCACATGGCCTCTCCCTGTAGCCAGAGCTCCCAGCATGGCAGCCAGGTTGGAAGGGGAAGGAAGACCCAACTGTCAGTTCATCCAACATGTCCAGTAAGGCATGGGCACAGAAGAAAATCATTTCTTTACTCAAAGTAATTAGGAGCATCCTTTTCTGTTCCTTTCAGCATCTACCAGAATGGATGTTTCTGAAGCCTACAGCTGATTCTGTCACAATACACATAACTTTCAAAGGCTCTCCGTGGAGAGACCCCAGGGGCAACTTAGATCCAAACACTCTGCTACATGGTTGGCCCTGTTAATTCATCTATTCTTCTCTACAGTCATCCCCAGTGGACTGGAGATTCATTCAACAAACTAACATTCTTAGAGGCTCCACAGCACCCATGACTGCACACAGCAGGCACTCAATAATTAGTAACTCACATGATCATCTCTCTAGGCACTTCTAGCAGCTTGGGTGGGGGGAGAGTTCCATTTTCAATATAACATCTATTTTATTGCATTGATTTTTTCACAGTTATTAGTTATGTGCCTGCTGTATACCAGGAATATTTGTTCACAACTGTGAACTGCAAAACATCCCCCCCCATCTCCTGTGCTCTATTTAGCTGCCCTTGGAGGTTCTCTTGGCTCCTGAGCCTGGCAATGCAAAACATTCTGGGGAGATAAGAGGCTTAATTAATGCAGTCAGCTGCAGGTCTCCCAGGCCTGAACTGCTCCCCTGGGAAACTCTTAATGTCACCAGTCAGAATAGAATCTAAGGGAGGCATGGATGGAAAGATGAAGAGCACTTAACACCAGAAAATGTCCGATGGACATCAGACACCTGCCATGTGGTCCATTGTTGCTATGGTTACTGGGATGCAGTGGCCCCCAGCCTAGGAAGAAGAGCTCACCTCTCATCTCTTTTATATGCAATGAACCTACTACAGAGTCAGGAATGGAGCCCAAGACCGCTGAACCCCAGGGGTTGTCAGGATACAGGGATGCCTTTGCTATCCAACCAGACAGCCTCACACATCCCATCAAAGGGGTAGCTTATGCTTCCTGTGACTGATATCTAGGAAGTGGCCTTTAATGAAAAGGCCTGGCTGGGTTTCTTTGACAAATGAAATCATGTGGTCTGATAAAAGTGGTTGACAGAGTCAGCCTAGAAGAATGGATGAGACAGTCTGAAGAAGAGGCCAGTGGATAATTGGGAATGCTTGGGTTGCCAGGCTGCCAAGGTCGGACAAGGGCAAGATTCTGGGGGAGCATCTCAATCAGAAGGAGGCTCCCTTAGGGCTATGCCCCAGCCTCAGGATGAAATGCCATTTGTTATTTTGATGGCTGCTTGGACGTTTCAATAGTGGGAGGAATCACTTCTAGTCTCTAAGATCCTGAATACTTTCATCCTGGAGGAAAAAAAATTTCAAATGCAGTCACATGGCTGCTCACCATGGGGTAGCTTCTGAGAATTCTTCAGGCCATAGTCCCATCATAGGATGCACTTACACAAAACCAGAGCACACAGGTCAGCTGAATCCTATGGTCCCTGTGTGCAATTAAGGGACACCATCACCATGGGCTGCACAGAGGCTGCATCCAGCAGAATACAAATATTCTTTCACAGTAATAATTTTTAATTAGTATAAGGAGTGTATTAGACAGACCGATAAGAGTAAGGGCAGTAAATACATAAACAGTAACAGTGGTTTGTTGCCATGACCACGTGTTGTGCTCTGTACGCAACTGTGTGCACTGTGCTTCTCTATGACTGATGGTGTAGTATGGCTGTTCTCACAAGCATTCCACAAGTGAGGGATGCATCACAGCAATACCAGGTCAGCCCCATTGCCATCTTATGGGCCTAACACAGGCTGTTGACCACAGCATCCCTGTAATAAAACACACAACAGTGTAGAGAGTCAGAGATGAGTGACCATGGCCCAGGAACAGGGATTCAGGTTGCTCTCAAGATGCAATAACTACTTCATGATTTCTTCTTTCTTTCTCTCTTTCTCTTTCTTTCTTTCTTTCTTTCTATTTTTTTTATTTATTTATTTATTTATTTATTTATTTATTTATTTATTTATTTATTTTGAGACAGGGTTTCTCTGTGTATCTCTGGAGCCTGTCCTGGAACTCATTGTGTAGACCAAGTTAGCCTCTAACTCAAAAAAATCTACCTGCCTCTGCTTCCTGAGTGCTGGGATTAAAGGCTTGTGCCACCACCACCTGGCCCATGATTTCTTTTTATGCTAACAGAACAAAATAAAGTCAGGACTGGAGAGATGGCTAAGAGGTTAAGAGTACTGGCTGCTCTTCCAGAGGTCCTGAGTTCAATTCCCGGCAACCACATGGTGGCTCACAACCATCTGTACCCTCTTCTGGCTCGCAGGGATACATGCAGGCAGAACAATGTATATATAATAAGTAAGTAAGTAAGTAAAGTAAAGAAATAAATAAATAGAAGAAAATGAAGTCAAAAGTCGAGACACTCTGAGAACCTTGGTGAGAGTAGCGGATTTGTGGGTTTTAGTAAAGCAGGTGCGGTGGTTTGAGTGAGAAATGTCCTCCACAGACCCACATATTTGGACACTTAGTTGGCGGTGCCTTATTGGAGAAAGCATATCGTTGTGGCTGGCCTTGCCCCACTTCCTGTTCTGATCCCTCTGCTTCCTGTGTGCAAATGAAATGTGACCATCCAGCTTCCTGCCCTTGCAGCGAGGCTGTGCCACACTATACCTTTCCTACCATTATGGACTCTAACCCTCTAAAACCAAATCTCCCTCAAGTTGCTTTTGATCGTGGCGGATCTTGGTATGGGTCTCAGATGCTATCTGAAGGTGCGCTTAGCTTCCGGGTGGTCGGAAGCCAGTGTTTGTTACTATATCCCTAAGGATTTTTGCCAGATAGTCACCAGGATGTCAGGTCAGACGCAGAACTGGGCAACAAATATGACTTTTAAGAAAGACAAAGATAAGCTGGGCGTTGGTGGTACACGCCTTTAATCCCAGCATTCGGGAGGCAGAGCCAGGCGGATCTCGGTGAGTTCAAAGACAGCTTGGTCCACAGAGCAAGATCCAGGAGAGGCACCAAAACTACACAGAGAAACTGTCTGGAAAAAAACAAAACAAAAAGACAAAGATAGCTCAAGATAATTGTCTCTGGGTC